CTGATATTGTTGACTACTGGGCGTTTGCACCGACCATTCTAAAATGGTCGGTGCAAACGGCCAAAAGGCCCGTCGCACATGGAGCTACCCATAAACGACGAGACTGAGTAGAGACGCCAGTTACAAATTAGTTGGATACTCAATTCTCGTACACGAGGGGACGGGACGAAAATCGAAAATTAACGCGTTAGTTCAGTGTAGTGTATGCAAAATGTCGAGCAATGAGGAGGAAGAAGTTATTTCATATTATTATAATCCAAGATACAAGCGCAGCATTAGGAGATTATGGGGTCATCCATGACGTTCACCCATCCATAGAAAGAAAGAAAAATTGTAGAATGTTTGTAGCTGCTAGACAATTACAGGCAAACGACGAAAAATTCCAGTCTTTCTATCGTATGAGCAAAGAAACCTATATTCTTCTAATTGTAAAAACACAGATACTTTTCTACCTTACCTACCTTTAATATCGGAAGCTTGGTACCTAATTCATTTCGTATTTTGTCATTTCAATATTTCAATACACAAATTGCGAAAAAAATCTCCAACAAATCCTCACGCGACCAACAGGAGTCTCTTGGCGATTTATCACTAACCAGTAGCGTACGAGTTGGCGACTAGTAGCGCCGTGTACGATATTCGATTAGAATACACATGCCGTGGACTTGCAGAAGACTGTCAAGTGATTTTAGTTTAATTTCAGTTTCATACCAGTAGCTCCGTGTGCGACGGGCCTGTGTATCTGACGACTGACGAGTGTGACCTTTTTTAAAACTGTATAAATAACCATTCTCACAGATATAGCGTAGGAATAAAGAGTGCCATCCCATCAGACTTCTGCCTATCTACTTAACTTAAACTAATAAACCTAATAATGTTTTTCATTGCCTCACTTTAGGCAATTAATCGAGAATCATATGGTAAAGTGTTGGGAAAACTACTGGTTGTGTTGTAGGCTACAATCTAAAGATTTTAACTACCGATGTTCGGCATCCAATACTATCTAGTATGACGCAGTAGATGGATAGCGAGTTCTTGGTGTCTCGCCCGGTTGTCTTCTTGTTAGAATATTTGATTTCAGTACTAGGAGTTCTACTCGCGAGATACTACTTCTATTGTACTACTCGAGAAAAAATATTGTTGGTTTTTCAAAAGTAATTCAGTGAACATACATTTTGTTTCTCAAATATAAAGGGGGATTTCATAGCTTTTAATATACTGAAGTACTATTGATATAAAATATCGGAACTAATGTGTTTTACTTTTTCACACATTTAAGTAGAACTAAAAAACAGTAAAACTGGAGTCAGTTTTATGAAGCGTAAACTCTTCCTTAGCTTACTTTTATTGATGCGCCAAGTAGACTATGCGGCATTATCCATCTACTGCCTTACTAAACAATATGTATGTAGTCTTGGATGCCGGAAATCGGTAGAGTAGAATTTTTAGCTTGTTTCCTCTACAACCAGCAATTATTAGCATTTTTCAACGTTTTAACTTATAGTAGCGTCAATTCATTATCTAAAGTTATGCAATCAAAAACATTATTAGTTTGAAGTATAGACATAAGTCTGATAATGGCACTCTTTTCTTACGCTATATTTGAAAATGCGTATTTATACAGTTTCAAAAAAGGTGAAACTATTTTATGTTTTGTACGCTTAGTCAATATTATCAATTTTAGGTACCTAACTCTATTCCTACCTACACCTACATCAAACTTAAAACAATAAACAATGCCCATTGAAACAGCATTTGAACTTAGAACTCTCTTGCAGTCGGCATCTAACAACTACACCGGGGCTCTGGCACAAAATAAACACCTGGTATAACATTTTGGATCCAAAATTATAGTAGGTATTTTTAAGTATGCTTTTGATAACAACATATTGAAAATAGAGCAAAATCTAGCCGTTCGTTTTTTTATTCTACACAATTTATCGAATTAAGTTATTTGCTACTTTTTCTAAATTGACATTTCTTTGCCGCCACCATTTTGTGTAAGATGCTGTAGGAAGTTAAGAAGACACCAAAATGCCTAAAACTTAGAGTAGAAACCTTTAATTTAAATGTGCTAATCGAGGAAATATAAACAAATATGTTGAAAAAAAATCAATATCTCGAAGTCCAAAAAAGCCAATTTTGACAACCAATAACTCAAAAACTGATCATAGGATTGAGTTGTGCCCATGAGAACTTTTAATAAGGACATCGAGGACTACATTATATCAAGTTTTCAAAAAATTTAGCCGAAAGCCATTTTCCATAAGAAATGTGCGAGGTCCTTTATTCAACTAGCCAATTTGTAACTAGGTAAATTTAAACGTTTTTATCAATCTGAATTTATCTTTTTCGTTATCAATATTTAGATTAGCATATCAGTAATTTTGTAAATATTTGGGATTCTATAAAATAAAAAGCAATTTGACCTACACGAGGGCCATTTGTCAGTAAAAAAAAAAGAAACTCATTAGTCGTTTTCAAAATGGGCATTAATGGGCTAATTAATTTAAGGTGAATTATTTTTAAAAGGAAACTTACGGGTTTCAGGGGATTTTCCTACATTTTAGATTAATATGTATTATAAGTATAATGGGGTTCTAAGGTCTAAGAATTTGTCCTCTTTCAGGGTTTTAGGTTTTAGGACTTTAGATTTTACTTTACCATTGGGTTCTTCCCTTTCGACGGTTTGCTAGTCTCGAAGTAATGTAAAATCAGCTATTACAAATAAAAAATCTACACTCTTACTTCGAAAAACTATTGCGGACTTTAACCTTTGCTCATTTAGAAAGCCTAGATCTTGAAATTCTAAATACACAAGAAATAAAGGAAATTTTAAATTATTTAGAAGTTCAATATCCAAAAATTATTATGGCCCATAGAGCACATAATAGAACTTACTCTAATTTGCAAACGATCCGAACAGATTGTACTTTTGCAAAAACAAGTAATAATAATTATAAAGTGCACACATTAACCTATCATAAGGCTCTTTTATTTTGTACCACAACTTCTGAAAGTGTTTTTGAAAATTGTTTTCAATTTATTTTTGACAGGGTGTTCTTATATTCAGAGCCAATGTGATGTAATTATTGGTCAGTATAAATACGCTCCACAATCAAATGGTATTAAGAATAAAAATCCTGAAATCCAAAGTATTGTATTACATTCAAACCTATATCTAAACTTACACCTAATGTATCCTGAAAAAATCACAGAAGACCTCAGGGAACCCATAGTATTTAGGGACTTTGTTTCAGCGAAAACCCATGCAACTAGTACTATTGTATTATTTCTTATATCTGTACTAATTCTTATACTAGTTGTGTACTTATAGCAAATGAAGCATAAATGGAATCCCTGAAAACTCTACAGGACATCATCAACGAGGACGTTGAAGAATCTTAAGGAAGGAAGAGTTATAGACGTAAACCAATACGTAAAATGCCAATACTAGGAATATATAGCTCGACTCAGCGTAATCATAGAATATTCATATTTTATATTTTATCACTTCATGGGAGGTTTCCACATAGAATAAGTTTAGTCTTTAGTCACACATTGTACCAGTAAGTTAAGGCTTTTAAAAATAAATCTTTTTTAAAAAGCATTCTACTGGTTTGAGTATTTAACTCGGGACGATCAACCTTAGGAAGAGGATCGTGTCGCGATGCGCTTTCGCCATAGTATACAGAATCCATGCCTAAAATTCCAGAAAAGGCTGCTTTAATCGGGCAAAGAGATTATCTGGATTATACAAGAATGGATTACGGATATATGGAGGACGATATTAGTTAGTAGTTTTTAAGTTTAAAATTGACTGTGATACGATTTAAATAGTGAATTTCGTAAGAGTTGTAAAGAGTTAAGTTGTTTGAGTTAATTAGTGAAGTAATTAGTGTCAGAGTGTGTAGTAACGTGGAATAAATTATTATTGTGTTAATTGGACTTTGATTTGGAATAAACGAACCCAAGATTTCTGTCACGCACCCCTGAGTCCTGAGCCGTGACAATATATTGATCACATTTACGTGAGCCATTTTTGAGATATCTTAGCTTAAATTATGAATAAATACCAAAGAAATTTTATAACGATTGTATCTCTTGACATATCCTCATGAAATTTCTTTCCAAAGTTTTTATAATTTAAGCTAAGATATCTCAAAAGTGGCTCACCCAAATTTGATCAACATACAGTGTGCGCCATAACGTTGGGTACATATGGGAAAATTCTTAATTATTCCTTTTTTCAATTTTTTTTTTTTTTGGGATCGTTTAGGCATGTTCGATAACCAAAAAATCGATTATGACACATGTCATGTGATTATCGGTTTAGCGGGAATTTTGAAAAAAGTTGATATTGATGTCGAAAAACGGGTAAATTTGGCGAGATATCAAAAAATTTTATAAGAAAAAGTTGTTCAGAATCGAAAAAGAGCTCCACTTGCCGATTTTGAAGCAAATCAGAGAAAAAATTAATTTTATTTCAAAAATAGCTTTATTCAACTAAACTACATAAGTTTGATATCAAACGAATCGATTGTTTTGCGGAATACACACTTGAAGGTCATAAATTAGAAAATACCGTCCGGTCGTGTCGCTATAACTGTACCCATGTCCCTTTTTGCACAATTTCTGGTCATCAGAAAAATAACATGACATGTGTCATAATCGATTTTTTGGTTATCGAACATGCCCTAGCGATCTCCAAAAAAAGTTTTTTGAAAAAAGGAATAATTAAGAATTTTCCCATATGTACCCACCCAACAAACACAATTACATTCCGAAGACGAACATAAGGTGTAACGTTATGACATGTTGTACGTTCGTAAGACGTCGATTTTAGAGCCAAGTACGTCTTGAAGACGTAATGGGCAAGTCGTATGTCAACTTCATAATACGTCTTGAAGACGTACAACTTAGAGCCATAAAGAACGTCCATAATACTTCTTGAAGACCTAATTAAGTACATATTGCAAACCAAATAAAAGAGGATTTTTTTACTCAAATCGTTTATTATTTATTCGCTATTAGCTTACTAAACCTGGAATAACAACAAAAGAAAAACATTATTTCATAAGTATTGCAACTATACCTACATAAATAAAGCATAACCTAAAAGAACTGCAACAACATTCTGTTAAGGATTGATTGGGTTGGGACTCTGGTAAACTAATTAGCACAACACTGTTTCACTGAACTGACTGAACTTAATTTATTATTAAAATTGGGAATATTCTGTCTATAACAACCTTAGAGCAGGTCTACAGTAGAACTAATTTTTAACCTCCTGTTCTGGAAACATCCATCAACATCACAATAACACATAAACTTTTTTGCTTATCTCACTTCTGAATTTGTAGGGATGGGTCTAATTAACTAAATTGTTGCTGTATTTTCTTTATTAAATAATTTTCACATAACTTTTGCACAAAATTTCTAACAGGCTTCTAACCTAACGTGTCGTTCGCCACCTCACATTCTCACATAAGACATAAAGACATAACGACATAACCTCAATCTCGGAACAAGGATATCCTAACATCTACGTCATCATTTATCAAATTTCAAAATGACCATAAATGAGAGGGAAATTCAAAGAAAGTCTGTTTTTTTTAAAATATAATTCCCCAAATCAAAAATTTAGTAACTATGTTAGCAACACAAGCCTTTTCTACATAAAAAATTTGAAAGCATTGACAATTTCACATTGTATTGCCAACATAATGTCATTTTGACTTTTATCTTTAAAAAAAAACAGACTTTATTCAAATTTAAATTCCTACAGATCTGTTTGTATTTTACACTTTAAACATAAAACCAAAATGGTGGACGTAACTGTACGTAATATGGATGTTTAATATGTACCTACATAAAAGGTACAAAAGTGTACGTCTTATGTACGTTCTGAATAGGTCATATGACGTACGGACGTAAATATGACATAAAATGGACGTTTTAAGTATGTAGTGTGTTTTCTGGGCAACTTTATGGCGCACACTGTATATACATTTGGAATCAGGAAGAAATAATTTTTCATTTTATCACATAATATACAAGGTGTTCTATTAAAAAAAGTTGTCTACCTTTTTCCATTTTTCGATGCGCGTTTATTTCTTTTGATAACGTTAAAATAAAATATAACTCTCAAGTTTTGTATCAATTTTTTTTTTCTATTTAAATAGTAAAGGCTGTAGGTATGGTGCCAAATATAATCAAATACCCTGTACATAATTTTAAATATGTATCAGGATGTTCTACAAAAATAAAATAGTCTTAAACAAATATCCTTTAATTTACATATATTTTTTTTAAATAATTCATAAAATATCATTTTAGATTTAACTTGCATTTTTATGTCAATGTTAAGAATTCACAAATATTTTATTTTATAAAATAGGTAGATACGCTTAAAAACCTAAATAAGTAAATTATTCGTAAATCAGAAGGGTTTGCACATAATACATTGCTTTTGAAGCACCCCGTATAAAAATAATAACATCAGTATCACAATATTTTATTCTACAGAAGAATTATTCAAAGACTTCAAAATATGATAAATTCCATCCATCTTATCCTGCAATTTCAAAAGCTCCAATTCCAGCTTCTTGATGTGATCGTCTCCATTCTGATTAGCTTCGTCTCTTTTTGCATGCACAATATTATTAGTTCGTCTCACAGTATCTTTATCCAAATAAATTGCCGCGCATGGAGCACAACCTCTTTTAATAATTTTTTGATCTTTAGAGCCTGGCTCTATGAGTCCATATTTGTTAGGGTAAAATGTGAGTTCATAATTTAAATATTTTGGAAACAAGCATGCGTCTACAGCAAAAAGTTTGCCAACTTTTAATTCTCGATTATGCGAACGTGGCAAACAGCAACAAATTCCTCGTAATTTATGGACAATGTTTGAAGGAAGGATATTTCCAAGCAGCATGCTTTCTACGTAACGAATATGTTCGGCTCTTGCAATATGACCAACTAATTCAGCATCGTTTTTAATCATTTGCGTGTCACTTACAGCCAAACCGTTAAGGAGATTTAGCAAAATAATCGCTATCATGAATATAAATAGGACAAAAATTAATTTGCTTACTACAGGGAATGTTTCAAAGTTTAGATCACTGGCATCGAACTCGCCAGTTAACATTATTATGGTTTTGAACACTGATCTGCCGGGATTTTCAAAACTTTTATCATTATCCTCTGAATCAGTGTCATTTTTCAATTCAATGCTAGTAAGTGGTTGAGTATGGGTAGTGAACAACAAATAAAAACTTAAAGCGAAAGCAATAATTAACAAAGAGTACCAGATAAGGAACTTGAAAAAGTTAAAAGAGACTGTACGAAGCATTACTACATTTGTGGAAAAATATGGATGTTGGCCTAGCATAAGAACTAATTCAAAAGCTGCCAAAAGAATTGATAAAGAAGAAAGTTGCTTACGGGTATCATCAGAAGGAGATTTTATAAGCACCATCATAGATGTTATAACTATCAAAATAATTTCAATATAATTTTCGAAATTTTTGAAATATTTAAGTGGAGCAACGCTTATTTGGAAAAGCTCTCGTATAACTAAAATCAGAAGGGTTAAGACAAGGATAGCAAAAGAAAGCTTTGAAAATATCACGTGAATATTAGATTTTTCTTCTGGATTGAAGTAAGCGTAATCCGAAAAAATATAAACTACTAGAGAGAGGGCGAAAGTAACGTAAAAGGCTAAATTGGCCCAAAACAACCATTGTATGCGCAACCATTTCATAAAGAGAAAACTAACAATTACAGGATGCTTAAGTAGGTGTTTGAATTCCGATGATTTACTCATGAAGAATATCACCTAAAAATAAAAAATATTGTGTTGTGAAAAAATTAGATAGGTAAAATGAATCTTACCTCAGTCTCAGCCACTAATTCTTTTTCAATTCTTCCCTGTAAGTCGATGGCTTCACAATCTTCATACGCATGAGCTGACTTCGCATAAGGTGGTATAAGAGATCGATAATTGAATTTAACTTGAAAATCTTCCTTGTCAATTTTTTTGCTTTTCATATTAAAGGTTACACAGTTATCCAGATGTTTTTCCAACGTTTCTGGTTGAAGGTCCTGAATAGGCATAACTCCGTATCTGTTTTTCGGCCCTAGAGATGCACCTAGGCTCAAGAGCTCTTCGATTATGTCTTGATCAGCGTACCTGAAAAAAAAAATCACTTATGGAATATTTTGAATAAGACCTCTTCTTACCTGATAGCAAAATGTATGGGCGTATTATTATTATCATCAATTTCATTTAATTTTAATGAAACCTCATCCAAATCGCCGTTTTTTATTTTGTCCATAAACACTCTGTAGCATCCCTTATTGTCGTGATATTCTCTGTCGATGTATTTAAGTATAGTTCCCAAAACTCCTTTTGGGATATTTTGAATTTTGTCGTATTTTTCCAGTAAATCCTTCATGATTTCACTGGATCCATGCTCAGCTGCTATCAATATCTACAAAATAATTTACCATTGATCAGCTTCAAATCGGGAAATAGCAGCAAAAGTCGGGGTTTATTCAGAAAAACATGATTTCTGGAGTTGAAACTATATTATATAGATGTTATATCCAAATATACGACCTCGTTTGCCCAAGCAACAGCGACGTGCGTCAGCGTATTCATTACATTAACCAACATTTCTATGCTGACTCCGTAATTAAATTAGTATAAATACTGTAAATTGTATTAGAAATAGGTAGTTAAGATTTAGTTGTTAATCATTGTCGAATTTATGTTAGTTTGAAGTAATAAAAAGTTTTTTAAGAAGTAAATCCGGTGTGTCTCGATCTAACATTGGCGCAGTCGTCGGTAGGATTCGTCAACGTCAGCAAAACAGGAAAACCAACTGTCGACGGTAGATTCTCATCCCTTAACGGAATAACCTACAACTCCTGGACGTCCTCACTCACATCGTCAACGGAAGGAACATTTGGTGAAGCCCCTGGTTGCACAAAGTCGTAGAGAACAAGACATCCAATGCTACTAGTTGTGGTTAGTTTGGGTTAGTTTGGGTAATATTGAATCATCTCGTTATTTGTTTTATTTTATTTGTATTTTTGATTTATTAATTGATTTGTTGGAACAATTCGATTTTTCCTCCATATTTTTGCCATTATTTTATCGTTATATTTTTACATTGCCCTTTATTTGAATTATCAAAAGAACCTTTAGTACAATATGCCAGAAACACACAGAGCACAAGCAGTAATCGAACCCTATAAGCTTTCAGAAATCTTCTCCCTGATTCCCAAATTCTATGGAGATCAAATTTCATTAGGTACATTTCTAAATACTTGTGATTGTGCAAATGATATGACTGTGGGAAATCAAAAAGTTCATTTAGTCACACACATTGAAAACAGGTTAAGAGGCAGAGCCGCTTAGCTTGTAAAGTCTAGAAACCCGTCTTCCTTTGCGGAAATCAAACGTCTGCTTAATCTTCACTTCGGAGATTCCAGAGATCTCTCCTCTTCAATACAGGACTTTCAACGCCTCAAGCAATTACGAGGTGAATCCCCTCTTACATTCTTCAACAGATTACAATTGTTGAATTCCAAAATGCGCGCTATTATACAAAAGTCATCCACTCTCAATTACGATAGCCCAATGTACCTTAATCGATGCCATGGCCCTTAATAATCCTCTTACTGGACTGGAGCCACGCCTTAGACGAATAATTCGTGCTGGAGATCCCAAAGACCTCCCAGACGCCCATGCCCGAATTAGACGAGAGCTGCAATTATCCTATTTCGAAACCCAGAAATCCATCAAACCAGTGAATGCTGTTAGGCGAGAAAATAATACACAAATAAAAAGGGCTCCTTCTCAAGGTACAAAATGCTACACTTGTGGACGAACTGGACATATGTCATATGAATGCAGCTCTCAACAATCTCAACGCCCTAACTATTTCCAGAATAATTCGTTGGTACATTACAAGAGAGGGACATCAAACCCAAGCAACCAATTCAAAACTTTCTTTAAGCCCATTGCTAACCGTAAATTCAAAAAAACCTTTTTTATATTAAAGACGCCTCAAAAAAATTCAAGCTCCTTATCGATACCAGTGCAGGTATTTCCGTTTTCAAGAAAAATACAGCCCAAAAATTTCGAACTAGATCCCCTGAAAACCTTACCATCAATACCATCCAAGGGATAACGAATCAAAAGCTGCATATAACGGAATCTACCCTTGTACCTTCCAAAGCAGGCGACCCTCTTAAATTTTTCATTCACGACCTCGACATAGAGTTCGATGGTACCCTAGGCATGGACTTCCTAGAATACTATGAATGTGTAATAGACCCTAAATCAAAACAACTTTTAATGAACCTCAAGCACATACCTTTGAACGAAGTAGAAACCGAACCTATTAATGTTCCAGAAAATAAAAACGATGCGCGAAATAAAATATCAATCGAAGGGCGCACGGAAAAATATTTAAGCTCAGATGCAACCTAACAAACACAGATGCCATCCTTTCAGCACAAGAAAAGGAGAAAGTTAGAATTTCACACGCATTAGTCCATATTAAACAATAAAGGGGAATTTTTCACGTAAATCCTCAATGCCAACGTCATTCCCAAAATTGTGAATTTCTGCAACCTACAACTAGAACCCATGGAAAAGTCAGAAACGATTCTGAATTTTAATTTTCCAGAAAACCATAACGCAGGACCCACAGATAGAGTAGAAATAATTAAGAACGAATTGAGAACCGAACATATTAATTTTGAAGAAAAACAGAAGATAAAAGAACTTTGTGCAGAATACGCAGATATCTTCTATTTAGAAGGCGATGCACTAGTCTTTACTAACGAAGTAAAGCATACCATAGAAACAAACAATTCTAGGCAAGTGCACAAAGAAGAGGTAAAAACGTAAATAGGAAAGATGCTCGACCAAGAAATCATACGTCCCTCTACTTCACCATGGTCCTCTCCAGTTTGAGTAGTTCCCAAAAAACTGGACGCCTCTGGAAAACAGAAATGGCGCGTAGTAATAGATTACAGGAAATTGAACGAGCTAACGGTCGACGATAAATATCCGCTCCCTAAAATCTCAGATCTTTTAGATCAACTGGGAAAATGCCAGTATTTTTCGACCCTTGATCTTGCATCTGGTTTCCACCAAATCGAAATCGACCCCAACTGATATTTCAATGGAAAATGGCCACTATGAATCCGTTCGTATGCCCTTTAGGTTGAAGAATGCCCCGTCCTTATTCCAGCGCGTCATGGACAATATTCTCTTAGGCATTCAAAATGAAAGATATCTGGTCTACATGGACAACATCTCATCATTTATTCACCTACCATCCATGAACACATAGAGACACTCAAAAAAGTGTTCAAACGTCTTCGAAAAGCAAATCTCAAAATCCAACCAGACAAATGCGAATTATTGCGCAAAGAAGTCGCATACCTTGACCATCTCGTTACCAAGGATGGTGTGAAACCAAATCCCTTTAAAGTAGATTGCATCCGTTATTTTCCAGAACCAAAATACCAAAAGGACATAAAATTATTCCTTGGACTTGCTGGATATTACCGCCGCTTCATTCCAAATTTCGCAAAAATATCCAAACCTCTCACAAAACTCTTAAAAAAGGACGTAGAATTCAATTTTGAGCGAGCTCAAAAACGCCCTAATCTCTGACCCATCTTAAAATACCCAGATTTTGAAGAACACTTTCTTCTCACAAAAGACGCAAGTGCTTTTGCTATAGGCGCTGTCCCGTCATAGTCACCTGTCGAAAAAGACCTCCTCCCAATAGCGTTCGGATCCAGAACTCTTTGTAATGCGGAGACAAAATATTCCACCATCGAGCGGGAATTACTCGCCATTGTCTGGGCTGTCAAACATTTTCGACCCTCTGTTTGGAAGAAAGTTTACCCTGATCACTGAACATAGATCTCTAACTTGGCTCTTTCCTATTAAAGACCCAGGAAGTAGATTAGCAAGATGACGACTGAAACTCGAAGAATATAATTACAAAATAGAGCACAAGCCAAGGAAAATGAACAAAAATGCCGATGCCCAATCCAGAATTAAATTTAACCACTTTCAAGAATGCATCAAGTTCAATTCCAGAATTCTTGCCTCTAACGAAGAACAAACTGAGGAGGAAACAGAGACAGACGATCCAGATGAGACTCATAACGAAGAAATAAAAGAAGAATATAATTAATATGTTATCAATTCTCAAACATGAAACTTCTGGATAAATTACATAAGAACATAATAACATTTTTTCGACAAAACCAACTAAGCGACTTGCATCATACGATATTAAATGATATTTTTGAAGAACATCTAGATTTTAAATTGAGGCAAATTAACATCGCTGCTAGCAAAACTGTTAAGAATAAAAGATATGTTATTGTGCCGCTTCCATTCGATCCAGAAAGAGTTGTTCCAGAACTATTCTACGTTTTCTTCAAAGACCAGAACGAATTCGATGTATCCAAAACATATGGCATCGAAAATAACCTGGAACTTCCCATTCTTGAAGTACTATGCCTCATATTTTCAGACAAAGAGATAAAATTCAAAACATGTCAAGATACAGTAACAACTCCAAATGAGGACGAAATACCTCAAATCTTAGACCAATATCACCGCGGGAAAACATACTTACAAAGAGGCATTAATGAAACAGTCAAACGCATAAGATCAAAATACACATGGCCTAATCTTGTCAAAGACGTATAGAACTTCATAAAACGCTGTGAAGCATGCCAAAAAGTCAAAATATGCCGAAGAAACCTTAACAGACCTCTGGTGATAACCGAAACACCAAAAACTTCCTTCAAAAGAATAAACATAGACATTTTCGAATACCCAACGAAAAACTATGCACTTACAAAAAGAGACGAACTAACAAAATTCACTCAAGCTTATCCAATGAGGAAGTTGCATAAAATTTTATTTTGATGCAAAATGTATTTAAAGTGAAGCAAAATACTCTAGAAGTATATTTCCATATTCAAATCCTCTTTATACTGAACCACTAATAAATAATTAATTATTCAAATATTGACAAACAAGGGGGGCGCGAAAACGCTCTTAAATTGGTTATGACGTCATGGAACGGTAAACAAACAAAAGTGTGGTTATGATAACGTGATACATGAGCCGTCAGACGCTTATGCTTACATCGAATTCTACCGATGGATTCAGCATTCTATGTCGGTCATTGTCATTTTCCATTAACTAAACAAAGATACCCCTCGTTTTTATTCTAATCGGCGACTTCACCGATGAGCTAGCTAGCTATTATTGTTATAATTATTATTTAGTCATATATATTTGTTACTATCATTACTACACTATATCTTTCTCTCACTTAATGTATAGGGTGTGAGTTCACTGGAAGAGAATTGATTTCCAGAATCAACGTAACACTATCTTTGTTTAGTGAATGGAAAATGACAATGATCGACATAGTCGCATAAACCAATGACAAGTCACAATGGGTAAGAGAGAGAGGGAGTACAGAGGCTCATTTCGACGGATACCGTCCTGTGACGTCATTAATTTATGAGTGCGTTTTGGCGCGAAGAGAGTTATTTTGAATTTCTATATTTTTTTACAGAAAAACTATTAGTTGAAAGTTTGAAATTTATGTGGCAAGTGACTTTTTACAATTTGAAAAATTTAGTAAGAGAATAAAAAAAAAATCTGCAAATTCCTCATTAGTGACAAATCAGCGAAAACTGTAGTTAATACAATGTAACTGTTTTCCAACACTATGGAAACCCCTTCAGGATCCATTGTGACCAAGGACGTGAATTTGGAAACGCCTTAATAAAAGACCTTTGCCGGTTGTTTGAAATAAAATTGGCATTTTCTAGTGTGGGACACCCCCAATCAAATGGCTCTATAGAACGATTCCATGCCACACTTGCAGAAATGATCAGACTAAACCATGCAGATAGTCCGGACGAACATCCCTTTAACGTCCTACCCTACGCCGTTATATGTTACAACAACATAAAAAACAAAACCCACGGTTTCACCCCATTTGAGCTTATTTTTGGGCATACCTCGTCTAGACCGCCCGAAACGCTTTACAACCAAAAAGAACTTATAACAAAATATGTGAGAGACCTAAACAACCGCATGGCTCGAAAGGAGAAATCTTAAGTTAGATTTGATCAAAAAATCTCTAAAAATCCTTACAATTATAACGTAGGAGACAAAGTATATGTTAAAGATTCCCAAATAAAAACTAAAGCCGAAAACCTTTTCAATGGCCCATTCAAAATAATCGAAATTTCCCAAAATTCAGCAAAACTTCTCAATCCTCAAACAAATCAAATTTCCAAAATAAATTTTCACAGGCTAAAACCGTATTCTGAATAAAAACGCTTCTTGCAGATTCTACGGGCTGCTTACAGCCGTCCTGTCCCAGTTCTCCATAACTCCCATTAATAATACTGTCGAAATTTTCCTCCATGAGGAAGGATCCATTAAGGTTTCTAACTCCAAATGGATGTTGCTAGTCTATAAGGAAATTCTCCCAATCAGAAATGCCATTACGAAAAACGGCAACATTCTTAATAGTCTTCTAGACATATTTGTCAACATCAAACAAGATTCAAATTGTATAGTAGCTTTTAAAAGTAAAGTACAAACCCACGTTAGCCTTCTTGGACAAACTTCCGATTTTGTCAATCTTAAATACAAAGAAATTATGTCAGACACAAAGAGTTACGCTTATAGAAGTAAGCGTGGCATTCTCAATGGCGCTGGAACCGTCTGGAAATCCATCACTGGAAATCTAGACGCAACGGATGGGGAATATGTTAACAATTGTATAGAAAAACTCTCGAGGGACGAAAGGCATTTTCAAATTCTTCTCAAAAATCAGATTTCTGTCACAACGTTCGTGATAAATAGTTTTGATAGTACCATTCAAAAGCTTCAAATTGACGAATTAAACTTCAATAAAAATGCCCAAAAAATCCAAGAAACCATGATGAACATCTCAGACAAACTTGCATTTTACAACGCAAAAGTGAACACTCTAAACCTGTGTGAACTACCTACTCATGGAAAGTTATGCTTTTATTGAAAATTCTCTTAATGATATCCTAAATGCCGTAACATTTGCACGATTAAAAATTCTCCACAGCTATAATTACTCCACTTGATCTTATTGATTCTCTAAAACAAGTATCTCAATCCCTTTAGAAGATGAACTTACCCCTACCGGCCTATTCTTCTAGCCTCGCAAAATACATGGACATTATAAATTTAGAGGCGTATCAATCAGAATCCAAGGTTATATTTGTTCTTAAGATCGCTCTGGTTGAACCAGAAACTTACACTATGTATCACCTTTATCTAATACCCATCCCGGAAAATCGAAGAGGATTTCACCACATCATTGCTGCCAGCTGCCACTCGAAAGTTTGTCGCGAAAGACGATGATTCAATGCTCTACGTAGCACCCCAAACCCTGGAGAACTATAAAACCCTGGGAAGAAACCAGAAGATATGTCCAGACCTACTCCCACACCCAATCGACAGCGACTCCATCTGCGAAGCACAGATACTAAAAACATCAAATCCTGTGTTACCTAAGACGTGCCAAATCAACCTCCTCATAGCCAAAGAGTACAACGTTCAAGAAATTGACCAAAATCTCTCGTTGATCTCAATATCCGACCCACTACCGATAACTATCAAATGCGAAGGAAAAGAAGCCTTCACAAAAATCGTCCACACCAATACCCTGCTAAAACTACAGCCAGATTGCAATGCATTTATACGAAGCACAAGAGTACATATCAAACGTTCTATCGACATCTACCAGACAGTGGAATACAAATATTCCAATCGAGATTCCCTACCAGTGCTGTGAACATCTTCCAGAAAAGTCCTCGATTCTAGATTCTAGGCCTTTGAAACTAAACAGAATCAACATAGATGACCTCAAGATAGCCCAACACAAGCTGGATCAATATTCAGAAGAGTTTATTTAAGTTATTTGTTTAATTAAGATCGTTAATGTACCTTTCATGGACCGGCACCTATCTTGGTTTACCATCCTGACCATAATATTAATAACTTGTTGCTCTTTATATTCTGTTTAAATGTAGACGCAGAAGACTACCAATGATTACCACGAGAAACTACGGTAACGACCATCCTCCTGCGAACGCACCACAACAACGCAAGTTCAAAAGCTTCAATTCCTACCCAGAAGGAGGCCAAACATCCGTGTTGACGATCCATTCGACAAAGAAGTTGAGCTCCAAGTCCAAAGTTAAAAAGTTACTGCAAGGCACCAACTTTTGACTAAAAGCGGGAGTTGTTATATCCAAATATACGACCTCTTTTGCCCAAGCAGCATCCACGTGCCTCTTGGATTACGCACCGACGTTCCAAGAAGCCTCATCAGCGTATTCAGCATTAACCAACATTTCCCGTGAAAACTATGCTGACTCCGTAATTAAATTAGCATAAAAAAAGTAAATTATATTAGGAATAGGTAGTTAAGTTTTAGTTGTTAATCATTGTCGAATCTATGTTAGTTTGAAGTAATAAAAAGTTTTTTAATAAGTAAATTCGGTGTGTCGCGATCTAACGTATATATTATAGAGCACGTCGACGGTCATCTAAATAGTTCAAACTATTAGACTGCGGAAGAAGAACCAGCAATTTGAAATTAGGGGCACTTGGAAACGGAATGTACGCGAATAAGTGAAAATAATTAAAAGAGGCTTTTTGTCCTCTAGTGTACATACTTGTAAATTACCTACTACATATTTGGACTATTCAAATATACTTACAGGTTTGGTTGAATTTTTACTACCAATTAAGTTAGGATCAGCACCATTATCGAGCAAATGTTTCACTGCCCGATTGAGCATTTTGCTGCAACCCGTTTGTAATAGAGTTGAACCATCCTCTCCGCAATAATCTACAATTTCTCTTATGTTACCGCCGTGTGAGTTGATAAAAGAGTCTTCATCTCCTCGGAGAAGGTATTGTTGTAGTCGTCCTCCAATCTTGTCGTTATCCAGATTGTTGTTCATTTGCTGGAAAAATTCATCTTTAGTTGGTTAAAAATACAATATTATTTGCTTACCTGTTGAGGTAACTGTGTTCTAGCATTGCCAGCATTTTCTATAATATTTTTGATATCGTCACCTACTCCCTTACGTTCGGCCCATTGTAATGCAGTTTTCTGCTTATTATCAACATGATTGTAGTCGATGCCTTTTTTTATCAGCAATTCTGCGCACTTTAGGAAGTCTGGAGAGTCTTTTTTTCCATGTCGTACCAATATTTGCAATGCGTTGCTACCTGTTGAAGTGAATATTAGTTAGCAGCGATCCAAAAATTATGAGCTCTTGGACTTAAATTTGTGAGGATTTACTTAATGCTTGACATCGTTGGGCAATAGTTGAGTAACTCATACCTACGTGGAGGAATAGGCGGAGATAACCTTTTAGAGTGCAGTGCAAAATTAAATTGGAGGTGGGAAGGAGTCAGCAGGATACATTGCTAGATACCGAGACAGACGATGGCCACTACCTAGACTAACTTCCAGTTGGTCAGTTAAGAAAATTAATGAATTGGGTTGCAACATCACAAAAGAGAACCTGGGCGACATGTTAATGGCTGAAAAAGTCCTATGCTTAACAAACAACGCAAGAAGCTCAAGCTGAATGAACACAAAAATGTTCAAATGTAGAATCTTCTATAGAAACCACTCAAAAGAGATTTATTTAACTGAAATAACAGGAACTATTAATGGTCGCTACAAAACCTCTAGTTCAGTTACTGGAGGGAATTTATTGATGACCAAATAGTTGGCTCAATGATATTTGATAGCCATCTTAGTGGAGAAAAATATATCAAATGTCTCCGAAAAGAAAGAATAAGGAGAAGATCCATGAGAAGCTCCTCCTGTAGTGTTTTGCCCTTACTATAATCATAGGATATTAGATGAAATTGATCATTTACATATTAATATTTTAGAAGACATTTATTTTAATTCAGGTACCCTCTATGACAATCTATAGTCCTTTTTCCAAATAATGGTTCTTCGGCTCGGCATCAAATAAATATAATTTTATTATATTGTCTGGACCTTTCTGTTAAAAGCCCAAGCAAAAAGGATGTGAATTGTAATTATTATACAAGGTGTCCCTGCCGAGAGTGACCCATTTTAAATGCTCATAACTTTTGAACCAGGTGTGCTAGCTACCTGCGGTTTGTGCCATTCAATTTCTCTTGGACTAAAGTTTTTTTTTAGGTTGCAAATTTTTTTGAAACTTATACAGGGCGAGAAAAAAAATCCGTTTTTCAACCTCGAAATTCTCCATTATGTCTAATGGAACACCACCCTGTATATCACAACGTCAAAAAAAAGATTCATGTTCAAAGTATCCATATAGGTACCTATAGACATCGTCCCTGAAACTTGAAGTTTTAGCCGTAAGAAATCAAAATCTTGGTATTTTTGCAAATGCATGCAATGCTTGATATCACTATATGAAACAACATAGATATCAATTAAGTTAAAATACATCTTCCAAGAAAATTTGACGAGTTCTAGAGTATTTTCTCTGGAACTCGTTAAATAGAGATTCCCCAACAGTAACGGTTTGGTGTGCAATCTCTATTGAGAAAAAATACTGACCATTTTCATTAATGAACCAACGATAAGAGAAACTGTATACACTGATATGTCCTTTTTCCCATAGTTAAGACAGGAGGGTATTTCGGATGATATCTATTTTCAGCAGGATGGTGCCCTCACCTCATTATTCTTTAACAGCAAGCAAATCTCTAGATATGAAATTTAGGGAACGACAGACAAGGAGAGCTGGTCCTATAGAATGAACACCTTACTCTCCTGACTTGGACTTTTATCTCTGGGCTTATGTTAAGGAAAGATGCGGTCATACTTTACTCAAATAACCTGGAAGATCTTAACCGGACCATTTGTAATGTCATTGAAGCGATTCTCCAGGAAATGTTACACAATTCAATCAACCATTTACTGATCCATAAATGCCTGGAACAGAATGGCTAACATAAACATATACAGCATTTTGTATAGTTTTATGCAGTTTGAGCGTTGTGATAATATCACAACGTCAAAAAAAAGATTCATGCTCAAGGTATCCATGTACGAAAATTAAAATCGAAATCGTGGTGTTTTTGCAAACGCATATTTTTATAACTTGGAACTTATATTTGCCTAATAAAAAGTTAATAAAAACTGCATAAAACTATACAAAGTGCTGTATATGTTTATGTTTGCAATTTTGTTCCAGGCATTTATGGATCAGTGAATGGTTGAATGAATTGCGTAACATTTCCTGGAGAATCGCTTCAATGACATTACAAATATTCCGCTTAAGATCTTCCAGGTTATTTAAGCAAAGTATTACCGCATCTTTCCTTAGCATAACCCCAGAGATAAAAGTCTAGAACTCTCAAGTCAGGAGAGTAAGGTGTCCATTCTATAGGATCAGCTCTCCTTGTCCGTCTTTCCCCAAGTGTCATATTTAGTCATTCCCTTGCTATTAAAGAATAATGAGGTGGGGGCACCATTCTGCTGAAAATAGATATCATCCAAGATACCCTTCTGTCTTAACTGTGGGAAAAAGAACATATCAGTGTATACAGTTTCTCTTATCGTTGGTTCATTAATGAAAATAGTCTGTATTTCTTTCTCAAAAGGGATTGCACACCAAACCGTTACTGTTGGAGTATCTCTATTTAACAAGTTCCAGAGAAAATACCCTGGAACTCGTTAAATTTTCTTGGAAAATTTATTTTAACTTAATTGATATCTATGTTGTATCATAGTGATATAGTTGAATTCACGATAGAGTTTGAATTTTGACCGTTATTTTCACCAGATGAAAGTAAATAAAATCCCCAGATCAGTCCCTTTTTCTATCAAATAATGATACATGTCATTTCGATTTGACATATAAAGATATCAGATCCGGATCTTGGAATTTTGAATTTCGAATTTTTGTGTGAAATCGTTTCAGTTTCGAAATGTTCTTCTTCCCAAACTAACAGAACCATCCATTATCATCTTGGATAATGCGTCGTATCATGCAGGCTACTTGAAAAGTGGTCTGTTATGAGCTGAAAGAAAGACGATATGCAGAGATGGTTGGAGGCCAAGGCTATCTTTTTTGATCCGCTTTTACAAAAACCAGCTTGTGGAACAGCATCCTACAAGTCCCCAAGACGAAGAAGTCCTTTGTTGTATACAATTCCATAATGGAAGCGGGTCACCAGGTTTTGCACTCACCTCCATACCATTGTCAATATAATGCGATTGAAATGGTATGGAGTCAAGCCAAACAGTACTATGACCAGCTGATCCTTAATGAAAAAGATGTTATATGGACATGGCAGAACGCGCTGGATAATGTGTCCAAATACCAATGGGCAGATTATGTAAAACATACCTACGGATGAGGTAATTGGGACCGCATATGACAACGAAAAAAACAATCATTCCTGTGGGTGAAGTGCAGCCCGTAATTATAAACTTCGATTCTGACTCGACTAGTGATAGTGAATAGTTATTAGCTCACACGTATACTATAAATAGTAATGTGATTGTGTCAAAAATAAGAAAAGGAGGCAATTCTACAATAACACCGAAAGACCTGCCATTCAAAGACATCATACCAAATGTGGAAGCCAGCATACGAACGTTACCTTAAACCACTGCGGAGGAAATACGCAATGAAACATCTAGGATTCCACGACTAAACTCTGTCTAACCACAGTTGAACGTTGAAGGTCACTTACTCATCCTTGTAACCATAGAATTCACACGTTCGGACCTATTTTGGTTTGATAAACACAGTTTGCGTGCAATAAAGACAGCAGCAAAAAGCAACGTCTGTGATATATTCGAGTAAGTGACCTTCAACGTTCAACTTTGGTTAGACAGAGTTTAGCGAAACGTTCAAAGTGCAATCTGACATACGAGGAAAGGAAAGCTATTCGCAGCATGAATTAAATATACAGACAAGAACATACTAGTCTAGCCTGCGGATAAAGAAAACGCAACGTTAATCATGAACGTGACTGACTGTGATAAAATAAAAATTTCCGAACTACTAGACCCAGTCCCCTGTATATTCTAACTAATAAAGAAATAGGAATATGGATACCTTGAACATGAATTTTTTTTTGACGTTGTGATATACAGGGTGTTCCATTAGAAATAGTAGAAATAGTGGAGAATTTCGATGTTGAAAAATGGATTTTTTTTAAATCGCCCTGTATAAGTTTCAAAAAAATTTGGGACCTACTAAAAAAAAACTTTAGGCCAAGAAAAATCGAATGGCACAAACCGCAGGTAACTGGCACACCTGGGGGGCTTTATTTGAAATTGATGCAACTTTACGTACACGCGAATATGACGCAAATGGCGTAATTTGCGATTGAAAAAGTGCATGTCAAATAAGCCGTACACCAATTTTCAATCGCGAATGAGGTCATTCGCGTGTACGCAAAGTTGCATCAATTTCAAATAAAGCCCACCTGGTTCAAAAGTTATAAGCATTTAAAATGGGTCACTCTCGGCTGGGACACCCTGTATTGTAAACCCTGCCGACTCTTTGAGAACCAAAAATATTGCTTGTGATTGTAAATAAAGTAAAAATTGTTGAGCATAAACGCGTAAACTTCCGAAGTATCCTGAATGATCATTCTTTGATGTATAATAATATATTTCGCCGATATTTATTGAGGGTTTTCCTAGATAACATTGAGTAGGTATAAGAAACATTTCAGAATGGATGTCGAAAGAGGATTTTGAGAAGAGAGGACAATCATGGGAAAACCTTCAGTTATGAGACAGCTTTGTTCATAGACAAACATTTTGTAAGACTCTCTTCTCGAACAACTGACTCCTCTCAAACAATCATCTAATATATATAATTCTGGTGTCACAGTGATTGTAACAATATTCCTCTGAAACGGCTTGACCGATTTCTATGAAATTTTATATGTATGTGTCGGTAGGTCTGAGAATCCGACGTAATCTGTTTTTAATACCCCTTAGGGCCGGTTTCTCAATAGCGAGTCACCCCCGAGTTAAGCATAACTCCAGGGTAAGCATAGCAACTAGCCACGCTTACCCTAGAGTTAAAACCAACCCGGGGGTGACTCGCTATTGATAAACCGGCCCTTCGTGATAAGGGTGGTCCACCCCAATTTGTTTTTATTATTTTTTATGTTCTTATGATGTGACATTACAAAATACATTACACAACCCTAAGTTTTCACTCTTCTATCACCAACCCCTATTT